CCCCAAAACCCCAAAACCCCAAAACCCCAAAACCCCAAAACCCCAAAACCCCTGCAGAGACTGGTAAATTAAATAATTTTATTTTGCATAAAATGATAACTACTGTGAAAGATATTGGAGCCTCAACAAATCCTAGCCACAGAAGGAAGAAATCTTCAAAAGTTAAACCTAAGAAGGGTAAGATAAATTAAATCTATTTTTATTCCGATGCTGATTTTGACTTGCACAAATTTAGATCAGAATTAATCCTTTTTAGGCGTAGGTTCTCCAAAAAGAAACAATAGAAAACAAAAGAAGAGAGGAACTGTTCAAAATTATGTCAATCCTAATAGATTGGTTGATGAGCAAATGAGCTTTGAGAGGCTGGCAATAGATCCCTCCCTAAATAGTATCAAACAGGATATTCTGGACTGTTTAAAAATGTTAACAAAAGAATACTTAAGTCACAATGAGTCTCAAAAACGTAGGATTTGTGATAAAAATTTGCATTAGCAATTTTTAGCTTATTTATATAACATAGCACCTTGTTCAACAATTTTGCTCAATTTTAGACTTTGAATGTGCTTTTTGTTCAAAAATTAAGCTTAAGAACATATTAGAGCACCAAATATTTTCTTAAGTTGCCAAGCTCAGTATAAAAGGTACATCTATAGCTTTCTTCCGCTTTACTATACCAGCATATGAAGAATGATTTTGGTTATTTTTTGTCAAATTTTAATAAGAACAATTCTAAAAATATGTTATCAAAAATTGGAGACATTATTTCTCAAATTCCTGCTTGGTGATTGTCAAAGCACATATTTGTGAAGCGAAGCTGGAGCTCCCTTTCTAAAATATGTTATTGATTTTAACACCTGAATAGTAGTGGGATACTTCAACTATCTCCTTTACTTCGCTGTTACTCAAAGAGAAGATCTGAAGCATAAGATCATGGACGGAATTGTCTTCTGTAAAATCTTGAAGCAAGTCGATCATAGTTTTAACAAGTAAGGTTCACTTTGTGATAGAACTTAGAGAGGTATTCAAACGTATTGAGTGACCTCCAGGCATTACTGAGGAAGATAAAAACCTTTATGTGTACCTTCAAGGCTTGAAGTAGGGTGTTTTTGAACTTTAGAGCTCTAGATTACCCGTCACATTTCATTCCAGAAGTCATGGAGTTAAAATAAAATGAGCAAAAGCAGATTTGTTGAACATATTTTTAAGCTTTATGATTTTGTCAAAAGAAGGATTAACAGCTCCCCAAGTAATCCTCGGCTTAATGAATAGATGAAACGAAGAAATTACCAGATCTTGCTTATGGACGGATTTTAAGAGGATCCCATGAGAGAGGTAATCACCTTTATTTTCATCAAACAGAACTCCTCAAACTTCTAGAAGCAGCTCACAAAGTGATAGAGAAAAAGAAATAGAGTGATTCAAACCCAAAGTGACCAGATCCAAACCATGGAAACAGAAATTCACAATTTAAGGACTACTATGATCCAAAATGCTACAAAGCCGAAACCTTTGGAAACTATCGGAATGCTGAACGATCAACAGAGAAAATATAGTGATATTGAAGGCCCAATGAAACAGTAAAGAGTCTCTAATCTATAGGAATAATCGCACAGGGAAATTAGTCAGAAATATGAGTTTTAATAATGCTAATAAACAAACTCCAGGGAATAGCTCAGACATCGTCTTGTTACAAGATGATAATGAAGACCTCAAGAATGAGAATGAAGATCTTCTCAAGGAGATCAACAACATTACCTTTCAATTTGAGTCAGAAATAGAGCAATTAACAATAGCTAATAAGAATCTATCAGCTAGGCTAGATGAAAAGGTATAATAGAACATTTATTAATAGACTTCTGCGCTTCAAAAAGCGCTTGAAAGTAATAACACTTTGAAGGAAAAGATCGAAGAGCTTCAAATAAAAATCATGTCATTAGAGCCTGAAAAGCCATTAATGCTACATGGTCAGAAAGATAACGTAAAGTCTATAAACAGTCTTTACAAAAATCAAATTGAGGAAAGTGAATCTGCTAGTAGTTTTAATTCAGAGAAAAGTCAAGAAAATGTTGAAAATATTAATCTTACAAAGAAAAGTAATACTCCTTTCTATCTTTTAGGCAAGAACTTTCCCTTGAGGATGGAAGAAAATCTAGCACAGAATCCTCAAACAAGTCCTGCGATCAGTCCAAAAGCAGGGAAGATGAAGGTTCTTAATAAACTTGACACTATTATGATGAATAATGATGATGACGGTAAAGAAGATTGCTAATCACTACAGAATTTTCACCCAAAAGGCTCAAACTTCAAAGACATAGATCATACTTTTTAAAGAAGCCTTTAAGAGTTGTAAAAGGTAATTTTTACTATCTTTTGGTACTTCCTAATTGTCTAATACACTTTCGTTCGACTTGGTTGGTTCAAGAAGAAGCTGATCAAATAAGAACTAATATACTAAAGACCCTAAATTTTAACATCCAATATAGCAGATTCAGGAGAAAGGATAAAAGAAATAGATGAACTCATCCATTTTATTGAGTGTGGCATATCTGATCATGGAAGCGAAGAGGATAGCAACCTGACAGATAAAGATTCTAAAAGCGATCTATCATTCTTTGGAATATCTGTTGGAGACGACCAAGGTGAACTATTTGTCTGATGTTTTAGATAAAGCATTGAGAAAAATGACCAAATCAGGAGAATTCCAGATTACAGATTCTGAGAATGACGATAGCTTGTTTCAAGAATAATACAACTTTATATATTGATATTTATTCTATATTAACTTTGTCAACTCCTTTTATATTCCCAAATCAGTGCTATTAGCAAGGTAAATATATAAATACTTCAGATCAAGTTCTATAACCATTCAGGTTACTGTTGATTCGTCTGGCCTTATTTCCATCTTCAGGAAGTGCTCCATATTTGATGCTTATTACAACAGTAAATTTTGGCAAACCTCAGTAAATCTTTAGTATTATTAATGATAATATTTGTTGGAATATTTTCACCCGAAGGAAAAGAGATAGCTGAAATAGAACTTGGTCCATGAATTTTCTCATTGCTTCTAAATTTGAAATGTTTTAAGAGGTTAGCACAAAGTGAAACTAGTACTTGGAGGGGCTAACCCGCTTAGCTTCATTGGTAAATGTGGATCATGGGTGTTAGTTTAAAAGAGTAAGGAGGTATGCATAAGTAGACCAGGGGATTTTTTGGTGAGATATCAGTGACTATGTTGTCCAGTCTAACTAAATGAAGCAAAGCTAAGATCTAATCTTAAAACTTTAATGATCCTTTTCTGGAGATATTTATTATCATAGTTACTTAAGGTTTAGAGATAGTGAGATACAATCTTAATGACTAGAGTTTATTGTCCTTTTCACAATTGATGGATTGTCAAAGATAATATTCTTGGAGCCCTTCAGCTTATTTGATTTAAGAGCTTACAGTTCTTGCGAGAATTCAATGAATTTTATAGAAGTTTCCCTGAAGTCTCGTACAAAGAGGGATGTTTTCAATTAGCTGCCATAAAGTAATGACTACTTATATAATTTAATGTAACTAAAACTCTAACTCACAAGTCAATGGGGTTTTGGGGTTTTGGGGTTTTGGGGTTTTGGGGTTTTGGGG